CGGGGAGAGCCGGGCAGCGAGGACGTTAATGGCCCAGATCAGCCACGCTCGTGGCACTCGGGGCAGCACCCGCCAGCATTTTGGTTTATTCTGCACTTGCACTGCAGGATTTAGGGACTCTCCTCCTTCTGCCCGTGCTGGGATCCCCTTGGCAAGGTGCCCCCCACAGAGCCGGTGTGTGGTCCTGAGTGTGGGAGCCAGTGCAGCCCCTGCCCCCAGCCCAGCTCCTCGGGCTGGTGAACGGTGGCAGTGTGCCATGGATTCGGCACAGCAGGGCTGGGCTCAGAGCTCTGCCTGGCACACAGGGCTGGCTCCAGCTGTGGAGGGCAGCCGGCTCCAGAACCAGCACCTCGGCCACCCCCTCCTTGTCCCTGGCTCCGTTCTCTTGCAGACAGCACAGAGGAGGCAGAAGGTTTTTGCCTTAGTCCAGGAGCACTTCACCTGCCAGTCAGCCTTGTGAGGGAAGCTTTGCTGGCACGGTGTGCCCACCACTGCACAGCACAGCACCCTGAGCCCCTGCACCAGAGCAGGATCCCAGCACCCAGCTCAGACATACCAAGGGAAAGGCCCCTTTTGGCAGCCAGGATCGCTGCCCCAGGCATCGCAGGGAGACGATGAGCAGCCAGAAGAGGACCAGAGCCTCTTCCCAAAAGTGCCTGGTGACTGGCCCTAAGTCACAGTGCAGCCCCACGCTGTGCTGCAGGCACTACCCGGCCTCCCGGGGCAGGAGCCTGCAGACCATGGCAGTTAGCTGAAGGATGCCTCAGAAATGGGGTGCACAGGAGGCCTGGAAGGGCTCTCGGGAAGAAGGGACATTGATCTCCAGGACACCTCCCCAGGCCCACCACCTCTCCCCTTTGAGTCCTACCCTGCTATGTACTGCTGCCAGCCAACCACCCCCGCCCCGTGCTTGCCCCTGCTCCTGCCAGACAGGGTGGGGATGCTGCTCGCCCTCCTCCCTCCTCCCCAGCCTGGAGGAGTAGAGGGTTTGGGCCATGCTTAGGCAGAGAAGAGGATGTTTGTTTGGTTTCCTTAGTTACTGTACCGCCTGCTCCAGTAATCATATTTTCCTTGTGCCGGCTGGGCCAAGAGCAGCAGAGAGGAAATCTGGAATGGCTGAGGTCAAACACCAGCCTGGGAACAGCCGGGGCCATCAGCCACAGCCCCTCTGTGCCAGCTGGGTCCTTGCTGTTGTCCCAAAAGGGAGGTACCGGCCTGGGGATGCACCAACAAGCTCCTCACACTCCCTCAGCAACAGCCCCAGGGCTCCCATCGCTCTGTCTGGTGTGAGCCAGGACACAGGCACTGGTGCTGACCTGCAGAAGGGATTACAGGAATGAAAACGTTTGTGCAGGCAGAAGCCAAGCTGGGGATGCAATGGGACCCTGCCAGGGTGGGTGTGGCTGCACTCTGGTGACAGTGGTGGCAGGGCTGTGCGGGGGTGACAGGGTGGTTGGTGCCTTTTATTCCTTACACATCCCTCAGCCCGGGAAGCCTGGAGAGCTCACTCCAGCTCTTGTCCCTGGGAGTTGCCCCTGCTTGTTAGCGTTCGTAGACAACCCTCTGTTTTGCAGTGAGGAAACTGAGACCTGTTCGTGTCTGAGCTCATAACGACACCCTTTCCCCCTGGATAATCCACTTCAGTGCTCGTGAATGCAGCAGATGAGCTCCCTGCTCCTGGCTGCCCCGCGTCTCGCAGGCGAGATCGGAGGCTCCTGCACAGCAAGTGCTGGCGATGCCGCCGCTCCGGTGCCTAGCACTTATTCATGGTGACTAAATCCCTGTGTGCTGGTACAGCAGAGCAGCAGGGAATCACCTACCCTCCAGCACGGCCGTCCCGCGTGGGCTGGGACAGACAGAGGGGCTCGGGCAGCCCTGCCTCGTCCGACCCTCCTCATCTTCCTCCCCAGCCGACATGGAGCAGACGCAGCGGAACCTGGATGCAGAGCAGATGCAGCAGCAGCAGCTGAAACTACGGGACAGGCAGAGGTTCTTTGAGGAGGTTTTCCAGCACGACGTGGATTTCTTCTTCCCTATGTCTCACCTGCAGATAGAGCATCGCAGACGTGAGCGCTGCGGGCACCGGCGCGGGGCTGGGGGTGTTGCAGGGAACGGGGACACGGGTGCTGGAGGTGGGTGGGACATCCCCA